GCAACATACGGCATGCCTAAAATGAAGAGAGCCGTTTTTAACCTTACTTTCTGCCTATAGCAGGTTTCATGCTAACAATAACAGGATCATTTGAAATTATTTTTGCAGTAAAATCTTGTTACAACAAATACCATATAAACAAATTTTCCAGTAAAACAAACTTTTTTGAAAGTCCCAGCAGAAATTCTATAGGGTACACGTTATAAAAGTCTTGTCAAACTTACCAATTGCAGTATAACAAAATTTTTTTGGGAACATGTGATTTCTTAATGAAAAATATCCAATGAAGGCAGGCAAAGTCTTAAATTTTCCATTGAAAATGTGACTGTGACTGGTTGTTGGGACATAATGAGGAATCCATGATAAAAATTATTCAAAATCCACCTGAAAAAATTATCTTTCAAAATGTTTTCATGGTTGAGGAAAGATGGGGGGGGGGTGGAGAGATGGAAAAAATGAACCCAACAAAACTAATTTTAAAAAGGGTTTGATGTACTTCCGTTTTGGAACATCCACCTCAACAAATCTGTTCAGGAATTGCTTATAGAAAACCTTACTCAAGAAAAAGTGCCGGTGTATATACACCTGTTATTCAGATTATCTGCTTGTTATTAACATATACATTTATTTTTAAATGCTGAGAAGTATCTGAAAAAGCCACAAAAAGAGCATGTTGAAAGAATGCAAGCTTAATTTTCAAAAAATCTTCCCATTGGTCAAACATTTTGAAAATCTTGATAGAACAAATCTGTTGAAAAAAACTTTTTCTGAAGTCCCCACAAGTTTGTTTTAACAAGACTTCACTGCAATACACTATCAAAGCTTTTGCTCACTGGTTTTCAATGGTCTTCCTGCAATAAGGTATTACTGTACAGTATTTCGTTTTAAACTCAGGATGAAAGCTTTTCCAGCTCCCAGTAGCTTAGTTACACCACGACTCTACCTGTACTAAAAAACCCACACACACACAATGTTATTTTTTCAACTGAAGATGTCAAGGCATGTGAATGCGTGAATGAATTCGCGATATGCTGCTTTTATTGTCAATCTCAAACGCACTGCGTCGAGACAATTTATCATAAAATATTCAAGGAGTGCCGCATATCCTTAGTAGAATAATCAAGGGTAAGAGTGGGAAACTGCACGATTCTCGGTAGCACGCAATTAGCATCAAGTTGGAGAAAAAAATACAGGTGGATTCTCCTGTAAAAAAAAAAATTCATGGGGCCTGAAAAAATCGTTGTAGGGAACCGTATAACATGGGGAGCGAACTCTCTCGGATTGAAAAAATAAATCGTTACGCAGAGAATATCGCATAGTAGACCAGATTGTTGCAGAAAGAGCCCACCTGTGTCACGGAAAAACAGTTAATTTTCTGACGAGCGTACGGTAGCGACCACCATGAACCCTGTGGCGCGTTCATGACATCATTTTTTTTTAGATATTAAAAAAAGTCCTCTGTTCCTGTTAGAACGAATGGCTACCTCATGCCTAATTTAGCCAAGAGTGTATTGGTGTAAAAAAAAATGCCATTCTAAAAAGCTCAGGCACTCGTAAACCCCCTTTTTTACGGATTACGCCAATTTCAGGACAAGATTTTGACCCGGCGCTTAATCTAGATAGGAAGTTCAACATGCGCTCTCAACTTGAATGAAGGACATACAGTATTATGTGGTAAGCACTGCAAAATTGCAATACCGTACTACAGTAACTCATTCAACATTATAGCAAGTGGGCAGGGAGCCAGGGACCCAAGAAACGCGATTCCGCTGTAAGCAATAGATTCCACGTTCTCACATTCAAGAAAACTGTTGATAAGGCCCTGACCTGATCAGAATTCTTCACAGATACACTAGAACACAGAATAATCACGCCTCAGGGGTCAAAACAGATTTAACTTTCAATGACATTGGAAAAAACTGAGAGAAAACTGAAACAAGACCAACTTCGTTGTTCATATATATACTCGTACGCGGGAAAGAGATATGATTGATCTCCAATGTCCTTTCTATACAATATCTATCTAGAGCTTTGCCACCGTTTAAATGTTAGCGTGTTTCTGATTTTGAGCCTAAGTTTAGATGCTGTGTCTAGTGACGTAAGCGCTTGGGTTATCTCTACTCGTTTGTTGCGTAGTCGTAGTCTCATTCGCGCGTCTCAAACCATTAAATACCGTAATAAAACACGCGCACTGCGATGAATGCTTTCTCGCAAAACCAGGAAAATACTTTCATCTCCCCCACATCTAAAGCGTTTTTTCTTACGGTACAATACAATACAATGTTGTACCCTGTCAAGGAAAAGGGAAAGAAGAATCGAATTGAAGAGAAAATATACACTGATGGTACTTCTGGCGACGAAACCTCCTCCCAACCGCGATACCGTCGCCAAGACATGGATTCCCCGCGAAATGCTGCGGGCGGACCAGGATGTTACGAACGTTGCGCGCCATTCGCCTTCCCGGGAATCCCAGACCAGACGGCCACCATCACTGTGGCAATCCCGTCCGGAAGCAACAGAGGGAAAAAAGCATGAGAATGGACCTAGTGGCCTATACAGGTGGTATATCGCTATTCGACTATCCTACAATTTGACAGTTGAATTGAATGGAGGTTGACTTGCAATTCGACCTCTGTCCCATCATTCGACCTGTTGTGGCCATTTCTTCGCATGTTTGCGCCAATATTTCTCAAGTTTACGAAGTGTCTTGCAATTCAACCCTAGTCTGGCAACACATTCGGGTCAAGTTGCAAGGTAAAACCTGTATCAGTGTTCCCCAATCTTCTTGCTCCCTAATATTTCATAAAATTATTTGCCAACCATATATTTTCTACAAAATGTCTGCAAACTAGCAGAATTTTTTAATGCATGTCATGCAGCAGGGTTACTCAACCCTGATAACTCATAAAAGCCAATTGATGCAAGGACCAGCATAATCAGACAGACCTGACCCTGTCACTGCAACAGTCTGTGCAAGATTTTTGCAGATATTCAAATTCATAAATCTGTGTTGTGTTGGACTTTGACGCAAGAGTTTGATTCCTTACATTGTTGTGAAAAGTTGTACAAAGTGTTACATTTCTCCTAAAAGTGTGAGAACACATTTGTGCTTATCTTTGGCAGGTAGCGCACCTGCCAATTTGTCTACTCTTTATTTCCAATTGATAAAAAGCATCTCCTCAGGCATACACACTAAAAACTTTCTGAGAAACCACTTTTGTAAAGATACACATCCTCTGCTGTATAAATTAGAGTATGTACTTTTCTCTTCTGGAAACCTTTTCCAGGTACAATTTGTACACATGAAGCAGCTGCAATGGAAGGTCTTTAAAACATGAGAAAGCTGGGATTCAAAAAAGGTTTCTTGGAATGAACACTTGAACTTATTTTATTTCGACAGGTGAAAGTTTATCTGACATTTTAAAATGAGGAAAGCCAGGTTTTGTATTTCATCATATAATTTCAACTGTCATTGTCTTTCCAAAAATTCAGGTAAAGATAACAAACTTCATCTATATTTTTGATAAATTTAATTGGCTGAAGAAAATGTTCTATTGACTAGCAAAAATTTGACTTGAGGAGCAAACCTCAAGATGGATACAGAGCAGGCAGGAATCCTTCAAAATGCTTTCTCCTCAGCGCCCTTTCTTTCGCATGCCAGTCCCACTCCATCTCTCCCCAAGTCCCGAGTAAATAAAACAAAATGGGAAGTGAAAGTGACACATCTCCTTTCCGTCTGCCGAACGGCGCCCCGGGGAAAGCCCGACATGGCGTAGAACGCCGCCTCAGACAACACGCTGCACCCGTATTATGCAACAAACCTATAGGGACTCCCAGGAAGGAAAGGACCATCCACAGCTGCGACTGCACAACTGAGCGCTATAGAGAAAAAAAAATTGAGCACCGACCAACTGAGCGTCTCTCCAAGAGAAAATTGCAGTTAAACCTTGATAACTCAAACCTTCCTAAATCGGATTTTTTCAAGTCCCCGTCCGAAGTCTTTTGGAAACAATGCATTAAAAACCTCACTTCACCAGCAGTGAGGCGTTTGCTCTTAAACCTCCATTACTCAAAATTTTCTGACGCATTTTGCCCATCATTTTATTTGCACAGGGAAGAGAAAAGGAACAAAAAAAGTAACAATGCATTGTAAAAGGAAGTGAAGGACTAATTGGGTAAATGAACCCTTGCCTCCGAGTTCAGCATCCTGTCATAACTCATTTGAGAAGCAATTTAAGGCCCAGAAAATCATCATTTACAATTTCCTACCGCAGTATTGTTCTATCTTTCCCTCAACAAAAATGCTTGCTTCCCTCATTTGAAATTTTTTACTGATGCCTCAGAAAAATTGCCAAGACCTGTCAAAGCATCCCCATACAGTATGCACAATTACTTCAGTTTATGATTTTTACTGTCTAGCAGTGATTATTATGTCCAAGACACATTCATAGATCATATGTCCTTGATCAAATGAACATGTCACTGAAAGAAATCAACAAAAACACTTGTTGAATTTTCTAATTTAGAAAAGAACAGAACAAACTAAGAGAACCGGGTTTCCAACTCAAAAATAATTTTTGATGAAATATCTGGATCTTCCTGACAATACAAAAATACGCTCAACAGAATATCAATTGTGCAGTAAAATACTGTAAGCAGGTGTGGTAAAGAGAGATTAAAGTTGATCCAATATCCCTAAAAACACAACTAAACTATCATGAGGTTGAAATGCAGGAAAAAGCAGAACGCAGAGAATCTCAAAAGCAGTGCAATGCAGGCCATCAAGGAAATTAGGGAAGTGCATCTTCAAATCACAACAATGTTTCAAAACTCACCAGCCCATCGGAAACAACAACGAAATCAGACTTTCACATCACATGACATCAACTTTCCACTCACTGTATATTTCTCCATCTGGAATGTACGAACGAAAGATACACAACCAAAAAAAGGCAGACGGATGCAAGTTGAGAAGCGCAAGGAATGAATAAATCGAGACATTCCAAGAAATTAATCTTTTCTTCAATCACTCTTGGACAAAGGAAATTACCAAACACAGACACGAGTAAATATGTCAGCATGAGAGACAATCGTCTTAGTCGAACCGCGTGAAAAAAATTCAAGGATAGGGAATTTCCACCTTAGTGCAGCTCCTTTAAGCCTAAAAAATGCACGATCATCCACGGTGGTCAGCAAACACGCCCTGAATACTTCATCTCTTCCATTGAAATAAAAAAATTCCTTCAACTGGAAAAGCTCCAGGGTTTCCATCACGTCAACCACACAATCGCACATAACGAATAAAACAAGAAGTCTTCATGATGAAAAAATTCAATTGAATCATCAACAAAAAAAAGAACGGATCCTTTCAAGACGGTAGAGCAACCATTAAAACCGCAAATGCGGCTTGCATTTCAACATGTGCCTGAAAATAAAAATAAATTATTGACAAAATAATTAGTTTACTATGAGAGGTTACTCACTGATCAAGCATGTCCCAAAAAGTCATCAATTGAGCACGGTCTAAATGCCTCCGGTTCCTGGAGATGTCGATCACGTGCACTGCCCACTTCGCCACGTTATTATCAAGCTTCATTTCTTCGTACTTCAGGTGAAATGCTTTTACTGAGGAGAAAAAGTTGGTTGAAAAGCAGTGCATTAATTTCACGGTTCTCTTGAGCAATATACTGTAGTACACGTGCTTTTAAAAATGACTCCACGAACTTCTTGCTTGAGGAAAAAGTTGAACAATAGGAAAAATAAATTTCAACAAAGAAGAGGGTTGTCCCGGAACCGCACGGCATTCAATAGCTTGCAAATAATAAACTTGGGTCAAATGGAACAATTTTTGGTGGTGAGAATGTTATTTTCGGGTTTTCAGCATCTTTTCATTTTCCAGAATTTTCTCATGATTTTCTTCATCGCTGAATGATGAGAAAAAGCATTCCTATCCGAGATCTACATGAAAATGAAATCCACGCTTCAGATGTCAATGGAAATTGTTTTTTTCATCATGATCTTTAAAATCAAAGCAAATTCAGGCGCCCTCAACCGATCAACCTGAACGATAAAAAATCGTCGGCATACAACTTTCTGAATAACACTCGAACTAGGCCACCGACGATGAACTACATTCGCCTATAAAGTTATTTTCATCGCTGCAAAATTGAGTCTTTAAAATTTTTAGGGTAAAATACAGAAAAGAAACAGTTTTGCTTGACTAAAATTTCGATAAATATTCCGAGACGTGCGGAACTGGCACAACCCCTGCACGTAGGAGGAAATCTTACTCCTGGAGAAAATTTCAACAGGATTGCCATCCCATGGCCAGCCTTTGAACTGCCACGCGGGACCCATGACGAAAACTGCAACAACCCTGTCCCAGTCTGCGTTCGTCAAACGATTTGTGTTGTCAATCACTCGGTACGGCACAGTCAGACCACCGTCTTTCGACCGCTGAATCAAACAGTCATTCTCTCTTCTCATCATCGAAGCACGCTTTTCTTCCGTGGTAACGAATCTGTGACGAAAATAATGATCTTCAGCGAGCTTAGCCAATTTACAAGATACGTTTACATCAGCAATTCAAAATTTTCTCGAATTGTAGGCTCTTTAAATTCACATTTAAACAAGCTGGAGGTGCCCAGCCACACCGGGGCGCCTCAAAAGTTTCCACCAGAGCGCAATTTAAGAGTTTTTCGAAGAAATATCCCCGAAGTTGGATCGATACTTTATTCAATTTGAAACCGGTGTTCACAGAGAGAATTCAGGGAAATACAATTAACGATTCGAAATTGAAAAATAATTTTTGCGCAAAAAAGGAGTTAGAATAGGTTCTAGAAAATAAGACAAATATGTCCCCGACTCCAGTATTTTTACGAGTAAAAAAGGGCTCCGCCAGTCAAAAAATGAACACCTGATAGTGCTGGTACAGCTTTCGCGCAATGCCTTGAGATAACTTTTGAACGTCTTTTTCTTCTTCTATTTTTATACAATTTGAAATAAATAAATCCGAATTGTACTTCAAATCTTGAAGAATTTCTCGGGCGTTGAACATGGTGATGAGAGACTTGTTGTCTGCCGCAGGGATAACGATGATCGGAGTTCTTGAAACTCTCTTCGTCGGCTGTCCAGGAGATCTCGGCTGTATGAAATCATACGAGTTTTAAAACTGCGTTCCACTAAAAGCTTCCGCGGGTTACTAACAATGAAGCTGCAGCGTTGTCCTAAGCCGACGAAGACGTGTAAAGGGAGACGATGACTAAAGTTCCAAAAGGGTCGTTTGCTACGGTAGCACAACTAGAACTTAGGTCGTCAGCGACTTTATTTTTATGAAGCCTAATGAGCAAGCTTGCATATCACGATAAGGAATCCACGTGGAACAATTTGTGTATCGAATTCTATCCCTCGCTCTATCGTTCTTCGTAAATGGTGAGCGAGAAAAACGAACCTCAGCTTCTGCATTATTTTAGAACATCGTATGAAATTGTACTCGACGAAAAATATAATATTTACGCAGATACGAGAGGCCGTTCATCTTAGGATTTTACGTAAACTTTTAGGTACAGTATTTGACATTAAAATCATCACGTTCGTCAGTGAGTGGAAAACTGTCATGAGCGTTGCCGTGAACTACGGAACAAAAACAGGATCTGCTTTCAATCGGAATAATTTCAAACTTAACGACATGCGATACAAATCTGACAATGAAGGCAATAAGCAACGAGAAGACGGTCGTATCACTTCAAAAAGCATTGCTAAGTAAAAAAATTTACACGATTTACTCCAAAAATCGCACAACAAACTTCTAATTTTTCAACAGAATTTACTTCTTATTATGCTATCAATTTTTCCTCAACGGAAGAAAGTTCAAAAAGTTACGGTGATTAGATACATATAAAATCAAGTGATTGAGAAAATGTTCGTTCGGAAACCGTTAAATTTAGAAACGCACAAAATATTGAAACATTTTCGCCCTCATATGCGCGTAGTAGTTTTGCATATTCTTTTGCAGAGAAATGTAGCGGACAGAGCGAGTGTTTCCCTCCAAACTAAATCATCTAAACATAATTCATCCAACTTAAATATATGTACCGGATAACACCATCATGGAACTTCGTACAAGAAAAAAATCACTTCTGGAATAGCGAGGGATTTTAGCAAGAACTTTGTTCTCAGACGAGAATCGTACTCACCTTTCTTGTTGAACTTCTCCTGGGCATAACGATCGTATGACTGATCATAGGCAGTATTTGCAGGAGTTGGAGCTGGCCGATATGCTGGTCGCGGAGTCGGCGCAACATGTTCGACTGGATGTACTTTTCCTTCCTCTTTGAGTTTGATTCCGTGCAAGAGGGCAAGAATTGACCTACGTTTTAAAAAAGGGCTGCGAACCTCTTGGCATCAGGAGCAAGAGGTGACAGAAAGGGCCCGTTCCTATCGGAAGCTACATAAATGTAGGTTGAGTATGTGACTTGCGTACTTAACCAGTCTAAGAGCAGCTCCAGAAAATGAGTCAAGATCTTCTGCAGGTGGTCACTAACAGACGAAAAAGTACCGTTATGCGAACCGTGCTTCCCGCCGCTAAAAGAGAGCCCTGTAGCGAACACTTTCACTTGGTGATGCCCAAGTCTCAAATTCGAATGCCTATGGTTAAACCATCAAGCAAATTTCCAAAAACGTACGTTATGTTATCCAACGTTACAGACTGCTCCTTTGGTCCATCCAAACGAGCAGCCATTTTTTGTCGCATCCTTTCCATATCCCCGTCTTCCAAACGGGGTTTCTTCATCGGATGGATTTCATTTTCGTGCTCCGCCACACGCTTCAGCTAACGAAAATCCGCATTTAGATTTTCGATGTTAAGAGTCAGAACGAAGTTCTCAGATACCTGAGTCGGCCGTTCCAAAGGCAAGCTTTTATCAATGCTCGCGGAAGTTGCAGTTTCTGATCCTAAGTAGGTCAGTAAATCTCTTCTATCGGGACGATGGACCACGGGAAGATTGTGTCCCTTAAAGTAAGAGATAATGCAAAGTCGGTAACTTCCGCCATGATTCGTTCCATAAAATATACTCACACTGGCAGTTCGAACGTAAACTGAATGCGACAAATGCTTGTTTTGAAGAAAATAGAGAAGGCATTCCAAGGTATAGTATTCCTTTGGACTGCCATCCTTTCCGGAACTAAAGTTATAACCCGAAGAATAAGAACAGTATGCATAGAAAACAAGTAAACAGAAATCTCACCCGTAAACCACGTAGTTCGTTCGAGTCGCTTTCGGCCAAGAAAGCTCCCCGAAAATAATGCGATCATTCTCCTGAACGATATCTCGGTTTTGGATAAAATACTGACGCAGGAGACTCAAAGGATCTGCCATTTTGAACACCGGTCACTTTCGCAATTGGTTTCAAAACCTTACCTAAAAACTTGGGGTAGTCACATTCCACTGAACACAGGTCGTTCAATAGCACAGATATCAGAACACCATAACCATTCCGACAGATAGAGCTTCTAAAATTCAACTAGAAAAACATTTCTGAATAGCAGCAGAAAATCTCCTACTCGAACAATCAGAAGTGCACGACTTTAATACATTAAATGGTCCTGGGGCAAATGCTCGAATAGTCGCGATAGTTAGTTGAAGAACTGAAATACAATAAATCATGACAGCCACTCTCAACCATAGATCAGGCGTTGCTCGAACTGCAGGTGACAAACACAAATCGGTGACCGGACGTTACGGTACACTTTCAAACTCGACGCAACTCACTTCCACGCTGCCCCTCCAGAGGGCTGTTCCCTACCACTCCATGCCTCAATGCCAAAAATGAGTGACTTCATAAACTGCGCATGCTTGCAGATACGAATTACATGTTGAAGAATTGTGTTGGAGTAGGAAGATAGGTACAGAGATAACAGGAAAGTACCATATATTTTATTTATTTGAAAAAGGTGTTTTTATATGTGCACTATGTTATTTGTCCCTCAGAGTCTCTGTTTACATTTTACACCACCAAAGCATTGCAGTCGAAGTCACTCAATGAGAGGCTGGTGCTCCTAGGGGTGGCGTGGAAGAGGTAGCGTTGAATGAAGCTGCGCTGAGTGGAAGTTGTACCATAACGTCGCGTCACGACACAAATCACGCTCACCACAACCAACCACACACCACAACAGCTCCCACGGGAATGGTGAGTGTAATGCGCGCATCCACATTGCTATTTGTACATCCCGTGTCCGCGTCACAGAACTATTCTCTATTGGTGACCCATTCCGCCGGGCGATACTCTGTCGCCTGGTGAAAACTAAGAGAATTCAGGAAAAAAATGCCAGCGAAGTCCGCAAACCAATTCTTTCGTCAACTTTATTGCATTCCTTTGTGAATTTGAAAACCATGGTATGTTCCATAATGTTGACATGCTCATCTCAGCAGTTTTCTGCGATCCGCTTCTTGTTTGTTTCATCCGTCTCATAGATGTCGCACATCAAACGTCGCCACTTCCGCTTACACTCAAAGAGGAAGTCTCATCATCATCTTCTGCTGCTGTACCAGTACCAATCGCTTCTATTGCAGCAGCACTGATCTCCGATAATAGCTCCAGCAAATCAACGGCATGATGACTATCGATGCCGTCTTCGCCATCTCCAGTGTCGTCCTCATCATCTTCCGAGTCCAAATTATTTGCACCATCTGCTGATTCGTCATTCTCCAACTCATCCAGAGCGTCTTCAAATCCAAAATCATCCCCTAACAAAGACTAAAACAAAATTCAGACTTTAAATATATATAGGAGACTAATTAAATGCACGATTTCCAATTTAAGTTTTCTGCAGCAAAATAATCTAGAATTATGCAGGGCATTAAGATTTTTCTTTCTACGTATACTGCGTAGTTTTAAATTTAAATCATATGCAGGCGCGTGTCATAATTTCCTCATTCCATTAATTACGAGTCATTTATTTTCTACAGCGATAAAAAGTTGCATTGCTCCATAACTTTTGATGAATATCAGATAAGGAACACTCGACGCGGGCAAACAGTATTTGCATCATTTATTCAAAATGCATCGATGAACATTATATGCAACCCATACTTTTTTTTTTTACTTTGCTTCTTATTTTCGACTGATCATTTCAAGAATGTAGAAAACTTCATTCAATATTTATTCCTTGAATATCTGCATTGGTCATATAAAACATTATATGCATAAATAATAACTCATATCGCCGATAATTTATTCCTAAGACGATGAATTTTGAGAAGATTATTGCTTTCTTATTCATTTGTGGAACGATTTGAAGATTTTCCAAGATTTTGTTTGTTATTTGTGAATACTGGTCCAACATTTTCTTTCAAAAAATGCTATTGAAAGAAGGTTTTTAAAAATTCGAAATTAATTGATCCAAGTATTCCAGCAGAAATTTTAATTACAAGCCAAATAAATGTTATTCAGCAGAATAAAAAGCAAAAATTCTGCAACAGGAATAGCAGTAAATTCAAAGTTACCCGATGAAAAGGCAGATATTCCAGCAGTAACAGAATTAATTTGTGATTTTCTCATGAATAATAGCGTTGTTGACACCGCTTTGACAAGGAAACTTCTGATATAGATATTTTAGAATATAGATGTTAACTTCGAAGGCAAAATAAATAATAAAAAACTAGAGAACCCTTTTAGAAATTCGATAAACAATTGTAATCCACATTTTTGAGTTGAACCTCGGAAAAAAAAAAAACTTCCCATTTTAATTCGAGTTTCCAGGAAATCCTATCGGACAATCATCTAAGACTAATAAATTTTGAACCTCCCTAAGCCAAAACAATTAAATGCTGGCCATCTTTAATCGCTCTTATTGGTCAAATTTTCCGTAACATTTGTGCTATTAAACTGGAAATATTACTTTTAACTGATCCAGAATTAAATAATTAATTTGTTTTTCTTTTAGTGCTTACAAAAACTAGGGATTCTGCAACTTTTTCCAAGAATAAGACAAGCAATAATCTTCTCAAAATTCATCATGTATATGGGAGTATGTATGTTGATAAGAATGATCAACTCTTATTTTTAATGCAAGATCCTTCAAGTGATGAGTATAACATTACACCCACAAATCAAACCGCCAAAGGGGTGGCTGTGAAGGCGGCTGTTGATGAAAATGGCAGAATTGACTTAGAAGATCTCGAGGCAAAAAAAACTGTGCTGAAAAAAAAACTGCAGGAAGGGCGCCTCATCTTTTGAGAAGATTGCAAAACTCTGCCAGGGTGAATTTTGCTAAACATTAAAAAAATTGTCAAGCAGGGCTGATTTTTTGTGTGCCAAAGAATATGTTTTCACTATAAATAACCATTTTTCCGCTCGATTAGACGCCATTTTCATTTCCATTCCGAGAACTTTTGCTAAAACCCTCGTACATCTAAATATTAATAGATTCCCTTCATTCACAAACGGTAATGAAAAGCAAGAATGTGCCTGTTCATAATATTTTTTGAAAAGTTGCTCTTACGTCATCATCAAAGCTGAGAAGTTCGGCAAGTCCGCCTTCATTCCCGTGAGCTAATGTTGATGCGATTGAAAATTGCATCAGGAAACAAGCAAAAATCCACACATGTCCCATGTCTGCTGGTCAGACGGAATTTATTTTCTTCTGCAAAAACTATACACTGTGTCAATGAGACGAAAAAAATGTCTCCTCTTTGACTGATGTTAACTTCGGCAATCTGCACAAGAGCTATACGTTACAGCACACTGATTCCATCCAAAATTGCCCAAGGAGCAAGCATTAGTTCTTCAGGTAATTATATTGTACGCGTTTTAGACACGTTTCTTCCGGGACAGTAAAAGGTGAGCTATTTTCTCATCCCTCTCTGACGTTATATAGATGTACAGGTTGGATCAGAATAAAAGGAACCAAATTTTGAATGGATGAATTTTCTCAACATTTGAACCTAACGCAACAAAATTCGAGGAACCAGAAAAAATTCGTTGTATAGAGATAATTTTTTTCATGCTATACAGCAGAGAAAAGCTTATGCATGGGATAAAAAAATCACGGTACAGTAATTTTCACTGTACAGTACTGTACTGTGATTCTGACAGTAAAAAAAGCACTGTACAGTGATTCTGACAGTAAAAAATCACTGTACAGTGATATATTTGTCCCATGCATCATAAGGTTTTCTCTGCTGCAGCATATTATAGGGGTTCTTCATGAAAACAATTATCACGGAAAAATTACAGTGATTTTCACTGTACTATACTGTGATTCTCACAGTTAAAAAATCACTGTACACAGAATATATTTGTAGACAATAAGATTGTTTCATATACCAGCATTTTAAATTTTAAAAATTCCCAATGAGAATGGAAATTAAATGATATTTCAGAAAACACACAGATCGTTAAAAAAAAGAAAATGGATGTAATTTACATCAGCGCGCAAATTTTGGCTATGAAACAAATATTACCGGAAAAAATCGGCAAGCATTTTTTCTTAAGGATTCTGCAGGTATATAATAAAGCAAACGTGGTTCCAGCAGGTTTTCGTGGCTTCAAACGGAGTTAATTGCGAATTATCATGGCGAAATAACCGAGTTCCTTGGTCAAAATATACGGTAGTTTCAGGATTCAAGTATTGTATACAGGTGAATTCAAAATCATAATTTTTTTTCAACTTTTGTGCAGAAAATTTTGTCTCCATTTGTAAGGAAAAAATTCTGAGACGGCTGCATAAATTTTCATATACGGTATAGCTCAGTTCTGCAGCTTTTCAACTACTTTCCAGAAAAATTTTTGACGAGTTTCACTGTTCCAGCAAACATGTTCGTCCGAAAGATCTTCATTTGCACATCTTGGCCTTGAACATTTTTTCTACAGAACTGTGAGGGAAATTTTTCAAGCATCGCCACATCAGAAAACTTCAATCGATTGTCGCACCGAACAACGACAAATAACTTAAATCAGTTATCTATATCTCATGATATATAATGTACAGTAAAATCTAATAAGGAAGCTAAAGAAATCAGTGAAAGAGCTTCGTTACAACAACAAATTTATCAAGGAGTGACTTGAATAACCAGCACATTTTGCAGCTATTGGGTTGGGCGGTGACAAAAATAAATTCATTGCAAGTAAAAATTAATGCAGTAAGAATCCACCGTACACCCTTTCACAATTCAGCTCACAATTTCCTGGTACACCCTGTATATTTTTACACTCCTGTGTTTGGGGTATTCCATGTGGTTTGATGGCCCAATTATCTCAGGCATGTTCTGCAGGAATATTATTTGATTCGTTTGCCTGACACAAATCCGATTCCTTCCGGAATGACGGATTTGTTCAGTTGAACACGAACTGAGCGAATATTAATTTTTTTAGGACGGGTATGAGTTTTTTGCTTTTGTTGAATATGGCGTCATTTTGCGCTGAACAAGAGCTTCAGCAATATATTAATACAGTACATGAAATTTCATGGGATAGTAATTTTTATGAAAATTGATCACCACATTAACAGACGCGCGCCAAAAAAAAATCGGTTTCAAAAATGTGACGGTCAACAAATAATCCAAGTATATTTGCAGTTCTTGCACATCACGGGATCCGCGAATAAAAAGTATCTGCCATGTTTGCGGTTCCCTTGCTGAATATTTGATCAATAAAAACAATATGACTTCTATGACATCATTTGTGCTGAACAAGTGCTTCACCGACGCAATTAGGTAAATTTGCTCTGCTTTCACAACCTGAATCACTTAAAGGAGATCAACATGCGAAAATATCGGCGTTTTTTGAGGCCGAATTCATAGGTTTTTTTCTTCTTTCTGTGCTTCATTCAAGAATATATATGCATATTTTTAGCATTCAAACACAAAAATGAGATCGCCTTACTTCGACTTGAGATCAAAAAATTGCAAAGTCGCTCTTACGTATCGTTCGAAGCATTTTGAGGCATGTGATTCACATCAATAAGATCCTTTTCTCCGTTACTGGCATTCAAACTGGACGGGCCTTCCCTCAATTTAAAACATTAGAACAAAACAAAAAACGTTCAACCACAAATATTCGAAAGGATTCAATCACTTCGATCAGTATTTCCTTTGATACGTTGCAAAGGCCCCCCAGTCAAGAGTCAATTGGCCGAGTCTCGAACGAGAAAAATAATCCTTTTGTAGAACCGTGGGCCAAAGTGTCAAAACTGAAAATGAAATATTGAGTATGACATGCGTAAGAGGTATAGAACTTCACACTTTCCAAAAAAATTAGAGCGATCAAGCTTAATACTGTAGTAGAACACACAATCTTTGGATGATAAAAAGATAATACAGAAAATCAGCATACAACACATTAAAACTTTCACCCATACTTAATTTCAAAAGTGACAATCTTCCAACATGGTATTTCAACTTTTCAAGTGCAAAAAATCACTCAAAATATTACCTCACACCGTTTCCAGCCAAGCATTTAAATCAACAGTTTTGCTACACTAATTCAAAATTATAAAAAGCAAACGCGATTCTTTTCCATTTCTAAGGCGAAGAGAGCTGAGAAATTTCTTTGAATTAGAAATCTGTCTAAGAATAATGAAAAATAAAAGTTAAATTATGATTATATAAAAAATTTTCAAGATTTTTCCTAACCTCAAGCAAAAATCGAAACGTCACTGTCATCAATATTCGGAACGTTCACACGGGTTTCTTCGAATTCTCATGCAGCTATACGCAGATGGCCGACGGTTAAAAAAAAAAAAGAATTCCCCATTCACGTGCTTTTTCGTTGTGAAGTTAATTATCGAGACTCGGCCAAAATTTCAAGCAAGAGATGTTTTCAGAAGCTGAAATATCGACTCCTGGGGCTGGCGCGTCGTCAGTCATTCAGTTTCAGCTTTCGGAGGCTGTCGGTGTTGCTCTCGTCAGCATCCGATGCCATCGTCGACCCGTGTGACATAATTGACATAGCTGAAGCTGCAGAGCCTGGAAAAATCATTCCGAAATTCAGTCAGTCATCGAGTTCTTCCACAAGATTCAGCCGACTCCAGAACGTCAAGAAATTTCGCTGACGAGATTGCAGAAGCTTTCAAACGTATCTCGAGACTATCTTCTTAGACAAAAACTTAAAATACATTTATACTCCGAACCTCTGAAAATAAGAAGCACGGAAATAAGTAAGGAATATTGCAGGTGGAGTGAAAAATGTTTCTGAACGGTTTCAGAGCAGATATTGATTCCCAGAAGCGATTTTGAACTTAGTGAACAATTTTGACAGAATTTGTGATAAACGGAACGAACTGATTCTGCTCGACTGAAGTCTTGAAGAATATCATAAAACGGTGATCGTTGCGGCGTCAAGTATCATTTGAAAAAAGCTGCATTATGCGATTCTGATCTTTCCCTTCTCATCAACGACAGCAAAATCTAACGGGCTTTAAAAAAAAAAAAAAAACTACTGAAGAAAGAAAAGGATACGAAAAGTTCTCTCGAACAATTTTCCCTTAAATTGTCTGATTTATTTGATCAAGTGACGGCTTTTCTATACTCACCAGGAGGCTGGGTACGACTGTTCATCTCTCTCGCAACATCGTAGACGTATTTGATGTCAGGTCGTTTCTCAGGATTTGGGTCGATGCAGGAGGCGACCAATTTGCGAAGCTACATCAATTATTAATAACATAAGATGCAAAAACAATTGAAAACAAATTCGAAAGCCACAGGTTTATCGAGAAGCGAGACGTTTTCTTCGCACAAGCTACAGTGAACTGTCAAGTAAACGTTTTCTTTCGCACGATATATTTTAGATTTACCTCTTCCGAGTAGTATTCTGCAGGCAGCGGAGGATATTCACAATTGACGATTTTCTTGCACAAGGAAACCAAATTCATCCTGTCGCCGTAAAACGGGGACTGCAGTGCTGCCATCTGTAACGAGACAAGAACTCGCTAGAGTGAACAATCACTGAAATTCGAGGGGTTTCTTGATTTACGTGCTGAGTTCAACTTATGTACCGTACCTAACCTGCGAAATCTGAAGTATCACGAAGGTTTGAGAACATTTTTTAAAGCACTCTGTCGCACTGAGAGCTTTCAAAATTCAAGATTGTCATCATTTCAGAAAGATCAAACGCTTCGAACAGTCATCCACGGACAAAGAAGCAGTAAATGCCCCGGGGCTTTTCTATTTGAATTAATCGAGATTAAAAAAAAAATTTGTTGTAGGTGGAAAAAATCCTTTTTCGGAGATCCGGTCATTTAAACTTCTTCATTTTCAAAATATGATGCGCGAAAGTATCACATTGAAAATTCGAACACTGGGCGCTTTTAAAAACACTATAAGAAAAATTATTCGATGATTGAAACGATTTCGATCAGGGAAAATGTGGAGTACTGTATGTACATCACTGTACCTCATAAAGCAGGCAACCAAGTGACCAGATATCGCTCTTGAAGTTGTAGCCCTGCTCGTGGATTCTCTCGGGGCTCATGTAGTACGGGGTACCGACCAAGGAGTGAGCTGCCGTTGTTTTCGAACTGAAGAACCGACCCAGTCCCAGGTCACCCAGTTTCACCACTCCCTGGGCCGTGATGAACACATTAGCTGGTTTGATATCTATAAAAAATATTTCCGATAGCATCACAAATACGAGGCAACCGGATCACTGAACCAAAAATGGCAACAAACGGTTCACAACGCAACCAATTTCCACTCCGGAAGGTAACAATCAGTAATTTAACGTGAAATCATTTGCATTCGCCCATGAAAAAAGAATAAATGCTGTCTCTCAACGGAGTCGAATGTTACTTCGCAAAAAGGAGGAAAATATGACAAAGTTTCAACATTTGAAAAAATCACGAACCGCGGTGCATGATGCGTTTTGAGTGCATGTGGTCCAAAGCGCTACATAATTGCACAAAATACTTCCAAATGGTTCTTTCGGGAATGAGGCGTTCGTGCTTCTTGAAATGTTTGATCATTCGACTCAAATCCCCAGCATCAGCCAACTCTAAAACAATGTTCAGCTCGGAATCTTCGACAAATGATGCCAGATAACAGATCACATTCGGGTGATTCAGTTGCTGCGAAAATATTGGAGCATTACAGTATTACCAGTCAGAACAACAAAAACCGTACGTACGAGTTTTCCTTCAATACAATTTGAGGAACCCTATAAAGAAATTGTCAAGAAAGAAAGAACTGACTCGGTAAATTACATGCAAGTGAGACTACTCAAAAGTAATGGAATTCGACAAAAGTCTCACGACATGGGGAAGGAATGGAAAACTTGAAAAATTTTTACAAAACAAAAATTTTGATAAAACTTGGATAACATAAAAGCGACCGAAAGTACAAAATTACAGGAGTACGCGTTGAAATGCAGTGTTTCTCCAAAAATAAAGCCATTCACCAAAACAAAATTTAATTGTCAAGAAAGCTCATTGTTGGTAATGAGCTAGGGTAATGGGGGAGGTAAATTAGAACTTTCGCATCTTTAGAAGAAATTTCGAGGCTAAAATCATCATCTGTTCAAACATCAGTGTTTTTCCAGGACATTGGTAAAGCTTCAATAACAAACAAACTTGACGACTGCGAACAACAGAACGAAATCAAGCTTACTTGGAGCAGCTTTATCTCCTTCATGCAGTCTTCCCGAGCCTTTGCGTCCATCATTTCAAAGATTTGAACTTTCTTCAAGGCCACTACTTTACCATCCACATGTTCAGCTCGATAGACCACGGAAAACTGGCCTTTGCCTATCTTTTTATCAATCCGGAAATTGGCCAACATTGCATAATGCGGATCGCCCGAAAACAAGCCCAACAATTCATCCGCGTTGTGTCGTGCACTCCCAGAAGTCATAATTGACAATGAACACTTCACTTCAAATCGAATTCCGCCGATTCCTCTCTTTGTTTCCCTGCGAACTGTGTTTCCCCTGGTGAGTTTTCCTTCAATGCACTCAATAAACACACATACAAAGTAGATGGGATAAAACGCAGTCTCACGAAATGAAGAGGCACTCATAAATTATTGGATACTGATGAAAATGATTATTGAAAATCGATGCAAACCAATTCATCGACTAGCGTGTCCAACGTCCGTTGACTATTCCCGGAAATGGATGTGTTCAAATCCACAACACTAGCTATTGAACTGTATTGGATACTGATGAAAATGATTATTGAAAATCGATGCAAACCAATTCATCGACTGGCGTGTCCAACGTCCGTTGACTATTCCCGGAAATGGATGTGTTCAAATCCACAACACTAGCTATTGAACTGCCCATGAAACAAATAAATTCGACAATTATTTTGACAATTCACGTCGAACTTGGAAAATTCACCGAATAAACGAGATCACGCCTACCGCGCGTCTCGGCATCATCCCTCCTGTTCAGTCGGTCTTGCTAATTTGTACTAGGACTTTGTCAAATCTGCCTGGAAATCTGTCGTCTTTTACTACACCTGAAATCCATTGCACCACAGCTAGTTGCACCATCTGACCATTACTCTGACTCTTAATATTCAAGATATCTTCGATCAAGAAATTCAGGAAGTTTTCCAGAAACAAATATGAAGATCCTGCAATCATGTGAGTACAGTTTCTAACAAAACGTGACCGCAGTGACACCCGCTTAAAAGGGTCATCTGAAGCAGCTTCCCGCAGGAAAGCGACTCGCTCACCACACCTGTCCGTAATTGAGTGAAAGAATGAAAATCGCAACTTATACGGTGAAACTAGCTACAAGGTATCCCCACTCCCTTTACCGACTTGGAATCCTAGCAAGACGGAGAGATAATACGATGAAAAGTGACAGAGGCATACCATTCGATATAGGTATTAGGAGCACGAATTTATTTCTGAACAACGGGTCCACAGGTATATTTCGAAGAATTAAGCTTCGCCGTGAGCGAATTACACATCGCCGCCCGTTCTGCAGAATCTGTAGCAACAACATGCAAAAATGTAAGGTCATGTGCGACCTAAAAAAGAAATGGGTCAGGGGCATTCAACACCTCACGCGACTCGACGCGTACCTCATAAAGTGAGAGTACGCACGGGAACTGTAAGTAAAACACAGGTTAGAGAGGGATGTAGACCAGTCAATGGCTGGTTGCTTTGCGTCCTTCCCCGTAAACTACGCCAGCTTGTCTGGATCAGTGTTTACCGCGCACTTTGGGTTGTTCATATTTTGGCTGCGAACGTCTTTGTTCTCTTTTTTGCTAGATGTCACTTCTCTGGAATGTGAATCTCCAGTCCTAACTCGACCTTCGTTCAAGAGGTCTTGAAAATAAGTATTGTATAGATCATTTTATGTTTTCTGCACAACAAAAAAAGATTTTTGCTGGGTACATGGAAGCTTAATTCCGCACCTGCATTTTTCAAACAAAAGCTTTCTTAATGGCTTCAGGAAAACCTGAATAAGCCGCCACCATTTGTTATTGGTAAGGTTTGTGGCGTTTCAAAGGAGTTGGCCGCGGTTGTTCCCTATCAAAAGAGCTAAAATAATACTATGGAACTTAGGATGTTACAAAATAAAATTCTTATTTTTCTTCTAGTAAATAATCAAAATGACCGTGGGATGCTAACTTACATCTATAGCTAATGCTTCCAAGAAGTAAATTATGTAATCTTCGTGTTCGTGTTTTTTTATTTATTATAGAGACACGACGCAGAAAATTATTGAATCTTGTTGGCAGGGTATCAAAGAAACAGTCAATTGGCCGGAGTATATTTGAGTCGTCAAAAATGTTGGCAGATGGTGGATGGAATTTTATTGGGATTTTCCAGTCTTAATTTTAAAATCATCATTCGGGAAATTTTCTTTTCCAAAATGAATTGACTGTTGCCGAAGGTGGGGGCTTATCGCGGGGATGCCTTAACGAGATTTTAATGCTGTATCAGTATAATAACTGCCAAATAAAATTACAGTTCAAGTATAATTTTATTTTCCAGCTGTTTTTCTTTCCCATCTATAAGGATGAGAGGCTCGCATAGAAAATCAAACAAAGCAAAATAATAGACGGACAGATTTTATAGAATGTTCGGGAAAATTCGTTTTATTTTCTCAATTTTCAATTGTATCAATAACCATCAGCATCATCAGCAGCGAGTAAAATTAGGGCATAAGCTTTCTCATCAGATGATTTCAATATAATTTTTCTTTCTTCATTTCTGTATGTGCTGAATGATCAACGCTATGGCATCCACGGGTTATTGTACCCCTGCTGAGAACCCATCATGTAATTGTTATGCGGCTCGGGATTCAAATACGGGTACTCGTCCCTCCCGGGGTACCCAGCAGTCGGTGGGTACACCGCTGGTGCTGCTGGGGCAGCGTACCCGGGATTCGAGTACTGCTGCGGCCCTGGTATGTCGTAGTAGGTATTCATGCTGGGGCCATCGTAGACCGCGTAAGTACCATTGTCCGTAGCTGTGATCCAATAGGGTAGCCTGAGGTACGCCAGAGGTCGCTGTGATCCGGCAGGTTGCTGGAACCCGAAGCTGAACATCGACTCCCAGGCCAGGTCGGGCATGAGCCAGGCCGGGTCGTCGTTGTAATTTAGGCCTGGAGACCCGTACCCGTGATACCCATACCCTGCTGGGTTTCCTATGGCTGAATGAAAGATGTATAGATGGTAATTCAGGTGGACATCTCTCCGCAACAAAATTCAGGGAACCAATGATGGAGAGAATTTTGTTGTAGAGCAGTGTTAACTAAATGTTTGCAAAAATCAGAAACTTTTCAAATATTTGCCAGAAAGTCTTAAAAACACTTTTTTTGAGTCTGCAAAAATTTTATAAAACTTTGCTTGTTTGCAGAACATTTTAGGGAACTTGCCAGTCCTGGAAAAAAATTGGTTTAGATTTAGAGTAGTGTTTCCCAGCCTTTCTGTGAAAACAAAATTCACAGAACCACTGATACAGAGAATTTTCTTGTAGAGTAGTGTTAACCAGCCTTTTTGGGCCCACAGCACATCAGCAAATTTCCACAAAATGTTTTGAAGACCGGCAAATTCCTCAAAATGTTCTGCAGAGAAGCAAAGTTTTATAAAATGTTTGCAGACTCCAAAAAGTTTCCTTGAAAGACTTTCTGGCAATAAATAGTTAAAGAGTTTCTGATTTTTGTAAACATTCAGTTAAGACACAATTCAGTGACTACAGTGCATTGTCTTAAAAAATTAGAATAGTAGGCAATTCCTCAAAATGAAGTGTTTGAAGTGTTGGTACCCAGCAAATAATCAGCTGTTTTGCAGCCAGGCATAAAGACACAGGCATAAGTCACCCATATATCCCACCCATATTCACAACTGGTGGGATATGGGTGGTTTTTGAGAGCTTGGCATGTAGGCTGTACACCTTGCAACACCCAAAATGATTGCCTGTGCAGATATGGGATTCTTTGAGCAAGCTCAAATCCTCAGAATATGCAAAATTCTGGCTGTCCAACTTGTACAGCCGGGCCATATATTAACCCTTGGACAGTGGAGGGTTCCTTTCCATTGTGAGGCAAAGTTGGGATATTTTTGGGGGGTGGAGCATTTCAGTTTGACTCAAGGTCGCTGAAATGCTCCCAGGTTGAGAAGGCCTAAGTCAGGAAAAATCCCGGAGACAAAATCTCTTTTGTTTTCAGGAATCTTCCATGTTAATCCTATACCAGGAATGCAGGAAAAAACGCCACCCAGTGAGGGATTTTTTTTTATTTTCATCCAAAATTTTCTGCTGGATAAGAAAAAAATGACATACTTTTTCCCAACTCAGGCCTTTGTACAAAAGTTGCATTTTTTAAATTCCAAGTTCTGAGTGACACAAAATTTTGCAAATATATCCCAACTTTGCTGCACAAGGGTTAAGAATAGCACCTGGCTGCACAATGTTGCACAGCCAAGAAAAGCCAAATTTGATTTTTCATCAGATAATTTCAACAGCCATTGACTTGCCAAATTCCAGATAAAGATAAGAGAATTCATTGCTACTCTTGATAAATTTACTTTGCTGAAGGACATTTCCTGCAGACCAACAACAAAATGTGTGCGGACTGGCACTGGTCCATGGGTTTGGGAATACTGCTGTAGAGAGGCTTAATAAAGCATGGGGAAAGAACCATATGCGATAAAAAATTGTATTATGCAGAAAACATTGTTGTAGACAAGAGGTTGTTGTGGACAGAGTGAAAATGTATAAACGCTCTCTATAACCATATTTTTCTGCTGCATTCTCAAATGGCTGAGGGGTGAATAGGTCGAGAAAGTCACTTATTAGTTTCTGACCATTTCAGTCCATACTTTCTCGTTGAATTTGTTCAAAAAAAAGAAAAACAAAAATCAAAAATCTACTGTGGAGCAAGTGGTTTTTCTATTCTATAGGGGTTGTTGAGGGCAGAGTACAAACGTATATAAAGTGAACGCTCTCTATATAACCCTATTTTTCTGCTTCATTCTCAAACAGCTGCTGAGGGGTGAATAGGTCAAGGAAGTCACGCATTATATTTTGGGTACTTTCCTGTTATCTAAGTACATACTTTCCTGTTATCTTCTGTTCCTTCCCTCTGAACAATTTAACCTGCCCTAACCTAACTTCACCTAACAGCCTCCCAAAATCGGTTTCTGCTTTCTTTGGGTTTCTGCTGAAACTGATTTTGGGAGGCGGTTATGTAAAGTTAGGTTAGGTCAGGTTATTTTAGTCACAAATATATTTTAATTAACATAACCTGACCTAACCTAACTTTAACTAACCGCCTCCCAAAATCAGTTAAAGCAGAATGCAGGAAAATAAAATTTGGTTTCTGGTAGGTTGTCATGATTATGAACTTGTCCTAAAGATTTGTCTGGATTGTAGTGTGGTCTAGGAATGAGGTACCAAGATAACAGGAAAGTACCATTTTTTGATCATTTCAGTCTACACTGTACTTGGTCATTGAATTTGTTCAAAAAGAAGCAGAACCTGTGCGGTTTTCTATACGCACCACCAGCCGAGTAAATGGTGTCGGGTCGTAAGAAGGGGTGCTGCTGTGGGCGACCTGGTTCCTTTGCAACAGGTTCTTCTTTTTCGCCGCCTGCTTCTGCTTCTTCCTCAACTGGCTTAGCCGGTTTTGCCGGTTTTGCTGGCTTCAATGGCTTTTCTGGCTTTGCTGCTGGCTTTTCTGGATCAGGTTTTGCAGGTTTTACTGCTGGCTTGGCTGGTTCTGCTGGTGGTTTTGCACTGTTCACAGATGAGACTGGGCTACATTTAGGCATGTATAATAAGAGACCAATACAGTCAACCCCTGCGCAACAGACCTCCCACAAAACATATTTTTGCACAATGGACTGCCTCTGATGGAGGTGATTTTCCCTCCCATGCAATGGACCATATCCACATAACAGACTTCTATTGGTTTAAAATTAATGGTAAAAGAGTAAAAAAAAATTATGATTGAAGTTGCATAACAGACTTTTCACATAACAGCATGAATTAAGTCTAGTGTGGAAGGGTTGAGTGTAGTTCATTTACTTTAATGCACTCAACAACAACAAAAAACTCTGCTGCAGCATTTTGTTGCATATTTAGATAATTTAATGATGAAATTATTTTAAACTTTCTGTGGCAGAATATTTTCGCACATTTTTTGCTGATGTTGGGAAAAATTATATTTTTTCTCTTCCAGTTGAATATGCCTTTTTTGCTTGAAAATATGTAATAATTTGCAGTCATTCCAGAAATGCATCATCTACCTAATACTGTACTTCCTTTTCCTATGTCTTGTTGTGTGACTGAAAGGCATTTTTTAAATAACCAAATTCCCTTTTCTTTCAACTCTTGAAGTGTAGCACTACCATTTTCTTCCCAAAAGCACTACTTTAATGGTCAAATTTCCTAAGTCAAATATTCATTTCCCAAGAAACTATCTTCTGGTGTAGGCTAAACCCACAAAGAACATGACAAGACACAAAAGAGAGAAATTAATGATAGACTCAAACTGCCGGGGAACACGGCAGGGGAGAATTTGGTCATTCTCCCAAAGGATAAAGTAATAAAATATATTTCAAGAATTCAAGAATAGCACTTTCAGAGGCAACCGTTTGCTGCAAGACAATCAGAGAGACTGTACGTAAAATGGAGTTGAAGTCATGGAAGGCAAGATGAATTGCGCAATGGAAAAAACCTACTTTGTGGGTTTTTCCTTAATTTATTAAATAATAGTTTCAAGAGTAGTATTTTGTATAGTTAAAGGAGTGGGACAACAGTAGTTTTA